TCCACAGGCGAATATATTTTTAAATCCTTTATATTAAGTTCGCCGCCACGCATATAAAGGATTTATAGTGAAAAACTTTGTTTTTACGGGTTTACTTGTATACTTTTTAGGCTTAAGCAATTACGAAAAAACACTTACTACCCAGGAACAAAAATTGTGTTACATAGTGTAATGTGTCTCTTGCGCTCCCTCCACTTGGACTGCGCTGCTTGTCGAGGCTGCCATCAACGTACATGACAGTGCTTTTATGTCTTCTAATGAAATTCCTCCACAAAACCACCCTTTTCACTCCACGGACCACAGCAAACCACCGTGTCCTACGGAGTACGTCTCGTAATCTGCTCGTCGTCTCCAGAACCAAAACTCTTGTCGCTCAGTGGAATTTCACCATAGCTGCACCGGCAGCCCGTTTGGAACGCTCTCTCTCCCCACTGCATATTCGCGGCAGCAACATCATTCACCTTCAAGCAGCTGCTCAAGACTCTCACCTAGACAGTAAAGTCACGTAGGTAACTACGTGTGACTACGTGACTTACCGAAAGAACCAAAGTGTATGGATCCTTGCAGTCACGAAAACTTCAAATCTAGAATGAACCACCTCTACGGGGAAGGATTCCACTTATCTGTTAGAGCTTTAAACAGACAACGGGACAAGAAATCACAGCTAATCGAGTCGCTATACAGTTATTTTGTTTCTTACTGTGGTTGTCCCACCTGATGACGGAAGCTTGTGTTGCTTCTGAAACGTCGTGTTTTAATCTAGTTATTTCAATTTTTATTTTCATTTTATTTTCATTTTATTTATTATTTTAATTCTTTTCACCTACGTGACTTTACCGAAAGAACCAAAGAGTATGGATCTCCCCTGTTGTATGTATGCATGTTGATTTTCTTTCGTACCGTATTCAGCCAACTGTGATAATCAGAGATGCGGGAGGGCAACAAACTAAACACAAAAATTAGTTCTAGAGAAATTAGTTTTAAATCTCGATTTAAAAGTGCATAGCTCCAGTAGCTTCCTAATATCGGAAGGAAGAGCGTTCCAGACGGCCGCAGAAGCGCATCTGAAAGCGCACGATGAGGTGGCCGTCTTTGTTCGATCGCTAGCCAAAAGCCGCTGCTTTGAGGATGACCAGAGTTCGCTGTTCAGGTTCTCACGGCAAATTTACTCCATTGATATCTGAAATAGCAATCATTGCCCCCCTACTTCGTAAAAACGTGGTCGGACCCCACTGAAAAGGAGTCATGAGACTTCATGAGGCTTTTTTTCTGGCTAAACAAGTGGAATAATAAACTAGTTTGGAAAAAGGTCAAACTACAACAAGCAAAAATTAGATGTGAAAAATATAGTGAACGGAAAAAATTGCCCCCTTTCAGAGCCAAACGCTCACAACTAAAAGGGGTTTAACACCAGATTGAGGACATGAACAAAATGCCAAACCCAAACATAACAGGGTCTGACCAGCACCGCGTGGAATACGAAAATAATCGCAAATCGTCAGAGATATGAATGAAAGTAAAACATGAAAGCTATCGTCGCAATCTGACCGTGCATTTTTTAAAATAAACCGTCTGCTATGGATTCACTAACAATTGAGATAACGTTAAAAAAATGTAGAAAGGCACTGAGATCCAATGATAAAGCCGAATCTGAAAAAATTACAAAGATCCGTTGCTGGGTTTGCGACTGTTATCATTTCTACCTAAAAGTCACAAATGATAGTGAAAGTGGTTATTTCAATAGTGTATAGCCTCCATTACGTGGAATTACATTGTGTCTGCCGTGTATTCAACATCTTTCCCACCATCACGTCCAATTAAATTTCTCACACTGGAACACACACATCCCCCCCCGCTCACCCGAGAATGCAAGTATTGTTGGTGGCTGAGATGTCAAGCTACCTCAGTTGGCAGATACATTCACTTCGCTGTGTCCTCCTTCAATCGTCTGAAGCGTTTGGGGCTTTCGTAGGCATTTGTAAATAAATATGGTCAAGTAATAGCCCATTTAGGCTATACATCTTTTTTTTTCACCGAAAGCCTTGAAACGCTACGACAGTATTTGGTCTTGTACATGTTTTGTTACTTGGCCTGAATGGTGCTGTGTCAGAAGTTTCAGTTACAATTTGGAGCTCATAAAATTGGCCACCAACCCTTGGCGGTTGACAAAAATGAGCTCAACTTTATTACAAGTCAACGGTGGCTGTTCTATCGGTAACTGGTCCCATACAATAGCAGCGTTGCCTTTTCACTAGTAGCTTAAGATCACCAATTGCAGTGAGGCAAATGCTTGTTTTAGGTATAATGACACGCATTTCTTTATTCTCTTAAAGATATATGCTTTATTTTTCTCAAATTTTAATCCAAACGTGCTGCCAGCCTCACGTTATGAGATGAGGAAATGTCCATTCAGAACTCTTGCAGGACAGTGAATCACCCGCTGTTGAAAGAATGCCACGTGGAAGATAATATCACAGAACTACTTCCGAGATCATTTTTAAGTGACCTTTACCACACTCGGGGCACTACACAACTCCATGCGTCTTTCTGCAGAGATGCTTGTCCCGTGTTTGCAGTCACACGGATATTTTTTAGTTCTCGTAGCTGGAATTTTGACAAATCAAATGTAAAATTTCCAGTTTAATATGCCGATCGTTTCTATGCAGTCACATTTGACCATTAACTCGCTAAATATTCAATCAAAGGCAGCAGCCAAGGCTCAACAGTGCGTTGACCTCTGAGCCACCGGGGCAGCTCCAATAACACACAATGCGTAACATTTGCATTTTAAACATAACAAATATGTAAAAAATGATTCAAATTTTTGATTCCTAATGTTGTCGTCAACGGTTAGTATTTTTTACATTTCCTGACAGATGTTTGTTGCTTCGCATGATTTGTTATTTTTGTTGTGACAAACTTTTGTGCGATGTACCCTTTGCTTTGATCGCAGGTGTTTCGTGCACTGGAGCCCTACGGACTCAGTGTGGCTACTCAGAATCAGAATCTCTATGTAGGCTGTAGGAGGAATCCGATGAGCTCTGAAGCTCTTTTTCACAGATGTCCAGTTTTAGGGTCGGGTCACCAAGTTACACGTGTCTCACACCCCCCCCCCCCACCCACGTGTCTCTAAATAGCTCTCTTTATGCGCTACAGTAATTTTGCTGGAGCAGTTCTTACCTGATGACGGAGGCTTGTGTTGCTTCCGAAACGTCGTGACTTTATTTAGTTGTTTTCATTATTTATTTATTTTGTTTTCACCTACGTGACTTTACGGAAAAAAACAAAGAGTATGGATCCTTGCAGTCACGAAAACTTCAAATGTAGAATACAAAAACGATAGAAGTGCAAAATCGAGAAAAAAGTAAGCAGGCGACGAAAAATAAATACGTAAACATACGTAGAGTAAGTAAGTATAAATTCCATAAGTATATAAATTCTTGCCGATTTCTCAACACGAAATGCAAGCTTGGGCCAGGCAGAAAAACAACAACGGTCCCAGACCACATCAAGACAACACACAGTCAGTCTCTCAATGAAATTGCGCATTAGAAATTGAACCACCGTGTACTCACACCTCTTCCAAGATATCTTGGCCAGTGTGGAAGAATAGGCCAAATACCCTTGGCAGGATTGTGTATATGGCTCCCTCTAGTGGACGCCCTTCTGGCAGCAGTGGCGTGAGCAAGACATTGCAAGGCCGCACCGTTGTGTAGCAATATGCTCTGCCGCATGGTTTGTGCGTACGGTTGTTTATACGATCGTTCTATACAGGTAAGCATCTTGAGATGCCCTTAGGGGCCGTCCATAAATGACGTCATGCACCTAGGGGGAGGGGGGGTGATCAGACATTTGTGACGATGTGCGACGATGGGGGGGGGGGGGGGGTTGAGAAATGTGACGTCACATCAAAATGTGCAACTTTAAATAAATATAGACAACACGTTCTACTTAATGAAATAGACTTTTTAATAAATGTTTTCTCCTACAGCATCAGAGTGCAGCGCCACATTAAATACGCACTACAATGACAATAGTTTAAAGCGATTTGAAGCATTTTATTTATTTATTTGGGGGGGGGGCAGAGCTTTGTGACGTCATATTTGAGGGGGGTCTGACTTTTTGTGACGCCGTGTGACGAGGGGGGGGGGTCAAAAATCGTCCAAAATCGCGTGACGTCATTTATCGACGGCCCCTTATACGTAGGTGCAGGTACAAGGTAGAGGCGCAGCCCTGCAATGTGTTGCTCACGCCACCGCTGAGTGATGGGGCCTCCACGAGAGGAAACTAAAACAGCTTCTCTCGAGGTTACGTTTGGTCGACGCTTCCACGATGCGCGAGGAGCCATGCACACCTTGTGTAAAGATGCCTTGTAAAGTCAAACTAATGATAGTATCACATGACAAACTGTGCTGCTGACTTGATTATTCTGGCTAACCCACGTAAGTAGCAAGTAAAAAAAAACAAAGATCCCCCATATAGCCTTAACAGACTGTTGGGGCAAGTGCTGTTAGCGAGCACCTACGAAGGCCGGCACGGCACACGAGAGCGTGGGTTTGCTAGCATCACGCCCAGTCGCCTTTGTCTCCCGAGTGGTGATGTTTACACACCGCACCAGGGCATCGTCTGAGGCTCAGTCGACCGAGGGGAGGAGGCCCCAGGACCGTGTTTCAGCAAAACGTCACCACTAACACTGCCGCTTCCCAGTGAGCCAGCAGGCGTGTGTCACATCCAGAAGCGGGGAAGCCACTTGGCTTACACCCACACATGGCAAGCGAGTTCTTGTGGGATTCTTTTTGTTGTTTGTTTGTCCTCGTTGGGCAATTGGTCTCAGAGAATGGGGCTTCTTGTGCAATGCAAGGTGCACTCAGCAACGCATGAGTGCTTCTGAGCGAGAGGGCCGACGATGATGATGGCAAGGCGTGACGCGCGGATGGGGCGGGGAGGGTGGTGGTGGTGGTGGCGGTGGCGGTTTTCGCTAATTCACTGTGAGCCGCGAGACTCCGGGGGAAGTTGTTTAACCTGGGGAGCCAGCGAGCCAGACGGCCGGCCCGGTATGTTACGCCCGACCCCTCCCCCCGCCGCCCACCCCATTTGTCAGCGCGTTTCACTTTGTAATTACAACACCGCGTGTTTAATTGGGCACGGGTCACATTTGTTGAACAAAGTCTGAGCCTGCTGATGAAGTCGGAGAAGGTTTGGAAGCAGCCCAGAGTTTTCTTGTTTATTCATCGAATGCTGTTTGATTTCATACATATGTATGCACGGTTTTGAATGTCGATGCCTGAGGCTGATGGACTTGAAACAAAATTTAGATTTACGTGGGGAGACAGAACGGAGCCCTGCTGGGATTGACGTTCATTCGCAGGCTGGATGTCAGCGATTGGTTTCGCGAGCTGAGCGGCAAGGGGAATTAAACGAGGTTTAAAGCAATGGTTCTTCTTCTTAACCTGGAGTGCACGCAACCCCCTGGGAGCGCGAGATGCCCTTTCTGGGGGTACGAGACGTGGCCAGATTCTTTTTTTAGAAGGTAAATAATCGAAAGCACGGGCACGTAAGGGGCCGTCCATAAATGACGTCACGCACCTAGGGGGGGGGGGGGTCAGACATTTGTGACGATGTGTGGCGAGGTGGGGTTAAGAAATGTGACGTCACATCAAAATGCGCAACTTTAAATACATATAGATAAGACGTTCTACTTAATTAAATATACTTTTTGATAAATGTTTTCTCCTACAACATCAGAGTGCAGTGGCACATTAAATACGCACGACAATGACAATAGTTTGAAGCGATTTGAAGCATGTTTTATTTGTTTTAGGGGGGGCGGGCAGAGCTTTGTGACGTAATATTTGAGGGGGGGGGTCTGACTATTTGTGACGCCGTGTGACGAGGGGGGGGGGTCAAAAATCGTCCAAAATCGCGTGACGTCATTCATGGACGGCCCCTAAGTACAACTTACTTTGTTTCATCAAACCCTATCTATGTATTTATTGACATGGTATATTTTCTGAACAATTGAGGACCAAAGGGGTTCAAGGCTGCAGTAAACGTTTAAGAACCGTCGGTTTACAGCGAGGTCACAACTTAAAACGGTTTGATGCTCAAATGCGCATGCGGGCGGAAATTCCACATTACTATGGCCAGTGCCGGATTAAGCTAGTGCGGGGCCTGTAGCATATATTATAAAGGGGCCCTAAAGAATAATTTAAAAAACACTTACATATTAAAAGACATACATTTTGAACTTGCATAGTAAAGTCATTGTATTTTTGTATTTGCTATACAGCCAGACAATACGACAAATCGCTAACCTTAAACATTCATTCGTTCATTAAAGTTGAAGGCGGTATAGTACTATAGTAATAGAGCAAGTGCAGAATCACTGAACCGGAATTGATAGCTTGAAACCATTTAGAGCGGGGCCCTTGAAAGTGCGGGGCCCGTAGCTACTACATATGTAGCTACTACTACAGATGTAGCTACTACTACATATGTAGCAGCTACATATGGAGCTACTTTTGCTCCTACGATAATAATTCGGCACTGAGCATTGGTGGGGCGTGGTGCAGGTGAAGCATTGGACAACCGCAGCTAAACTCAGCGCACAGAGTGGTACTTAAAAAAAACTAATTTAATGAACGCGTGACTTTACGTGACTTTACCGAAAGAACCAAAGAGTATGGATTCCTGCAGTCACGAAAGCTTCAAAACAAGATTGAACGAACGCGAGTTCGGTGGCGAAAGGGGTCAACAACTCAGCCAGGAATTTGAGTTCTCGTGAACTTCCGACTGCCGTGCGATCGGCAGCGCCCTGCCGAATATTCCACGCTCAGATGACGCCGCTCCCTTCGTCGCGTTCTTCGCGCACATTCAATGGGACGACAAATGCCTCTGCCCGCTTGGGTAGCCGTGCTCTCGCCTCTTGACCGCTTTGCGTGAGGTTCCCACTGCTGCTGGCCTTTATCATTCGCTACGGGAAGTTGCGGCAAGTGGTCATACTGTGCAGGCTGCTGCCTGAGTATACGTAACGTTAAGCAACCCCCCCCCCCCATAGGGTGATTCACACCAACAGGGAAATGTGCAATGGGTCACGGTCAAAAGGGGTGAAAAATGGAAACTCGTTAGGTGCTGAACGATGCATAAACTCGCCGATCGGCATTCCTTCTAGAGTGTGCGACACGTGGGTCAGATCATGCAAGAATCGACGTTTTGTTTTCTTTCAACCGATTATTTGTGTATTAGTTAATAGGCAAAAGCAGAAATGGGCTAAAATCAGTTAGTCCCCGTTAATTGGCGTGGCTAATCCGAGTAGATAATTCGATGGTGCCGTTCATATCACACAATTTCACCGATACCGGCCACATCAAATAAACTGACCCCGCTAAAGTTACCCCCAACTCATGGCGGCGCCAGCAAGTGAAGATAATTCTCTGGTCTGGGGCTCAGGGACTGGCCGCATGTAATCGCTTCACATCACTCGGGTCCTGAGCGGGGGGGGGGGGGGGGGCGTCCTCAGAGCCCTCCGCGTGCGGATGATCGTCGATTTTGGGTGAGAATCGGGCACATTGGGTGGTATGGGGAGAGGCTTGGCGTTCGCAGGGCTCGCCGTGAGGTCGCGATGGCATTTCTGCCGTGGGCTTGACAAGTGCGGGCTTGTTTTGCTCGGCGGTGCTTTGGGAGCAGGTGAAATGTGATCCGTGGCATGCAAATGTGGACCCCCCCCTCCCCTCCCCACATCTAACTGCCTCTTCCCCTCTGGCTTCGTTCTCGGCCATTTGTGGAATTTCAGCGACGGTGAGAGAGCCCGGTCATAGTGAAACAACCGATGCACGCCCTGTGAACTGGTGCACGCTCCGATTATGTCAATAACGATGCATAGCCGTGCGCTCCACGGTCTTGTTTGACGTGTTTATTGTGGTTTGCACAGCACCAAATAATTTGTTTCAAAGCAGGAATTAATTTTGGGGGGGGGGGGAGGGGGGGGGTGGAGGGTCACATGACATCTGGACCACCATGTACAGTACTTCAGCCCAGCTACGCAGAGTGCAGGCCACAGCGGTGCTTAATTCTTGTTCAGATGTCTTGTGACACCCCTTTAATTCTTTTTTTAAACACATGCTCTTTATAAAGTAATTAATATGCAAATTCATTAGGGGTCACAAGACACATGGACCATCCTCTGCAATGCTCTCGGCCTTGCCTATAAATGATGATGGTGAATATCTATCACTGACTCTGCTATGTGCTATCCCAACTGAGAAGTGTGTGGGTAATAGATAAAGGCAAAGATCCCACCCATATAGCCTTGACAGACTGTAGGGGCAAGTGCCGTTAGCGAGCACCTATGAAGCCCGGAACGGTACACGAGGGGGTGGGTGGTCAGCACCACGCCTGAGCGCCTTTGTCTCCCCGGTGGCAATGTTTACACACCGCTCCAGGTACTCATTTGAGGCTGAGTCAACCTAGGGGAGGACCGGTTCAGATAATCGTCACTGGTGAGCGGGAATAGAACCCGGATCGCCGGGTTCATAGCGCACTACGCGAACCGCTACACTATCGACAATACACGATGACATCCACCACATTTCTTTTTTTTTAGCAGTAAATTCAAAGTGCATTGTTGTAAAGGGTGGTCCAGATGTCTTGTGATCCCCCATTTAATTATCTAAAACTTCAACAAACAAGAAAGTAAGGTGTATTTAAAACAGAAATTAACATACAAAGGGTAAAACAATGTTAGGGGTCAATAAAAAAGAACTATAAAAGTATATTTTTTTATTTGACCAAGTAAGGACCCACTAAGCTATAAGCGACCTGGCCACAAATGATAGCTCCACTCTAAGCGCGTCATGTTGATTATAAACATGGAGCGAAAAAAACCAGAGGGCCCGGAGAAAAATCCACACAAACCACGGAGAGAGACACGCAAACTCCAAATATATATCAGGCGTCAGGGGTCGGGATGGAATCCACGACCTTCCTCTCTATACCAGGTGGGGCGTGGGGGAGGGTCCTCACGTCTCACCACCGTGACGCCGATTTAATTGCGGGTCACAAGACATCTGGGCCACCCCATATCAATTCTGGAAGTTCGTGACACGAGCGGGCGAGCAAAGGGGACGTCCATAAATGACGTCACGCACCTAAGGGGGGGGGGGGGGTTAAGACATTTGTGACGATATGTGACGAGGGGGGGGGGTTGAGAAATGTTTAAATATAGACAACACGTTCTACATAATTAAATTAACTTTTTAACATATTCCTGCGGAGAAAGCTGGTAGAAACGTTGGGTTGCTCGGTCAATGGCCAGGATCAACGGCGGCGTGGTGTATTCCGCAAATATGGCCGACTGTGAGGGCGGGCACAAGCCGGCGTGAGTAGATTAAACGTTGAGTTTCATAAGGGCACCACGGGGTGACCAGCCCCTCCCCACCCAGCGCTACCCCTCCCACCCCCCACCCAGCCCCTCTCCACCCTCCCCACTCAGCCCCTCCCCACCCTCCCCTCTCCACCCAGCCCCACCCCTCCCATTTTTGGATACACGACGGACGGACGGACACAATAATCCCCTGTGGGCTGGTGGAACCAGGTGGTTCCTACCAGTAATAAATGTTTTCTCCTACAACATCAGAGTGCAGCGCCATATTATAAACTCACTACAATCACAATAGTTGAAAGCGATTTGAAGCACGTTTTATATTTTTTTAGGGGGGGGGGGCAGAGCTTTGTAATGTCATATTTGAGGGGGGGGGGCTGACTTTTTGTGACGCCGTGTGGCGAAGGGGGGGGGGGGAGGTCCAAAATCGTCCAAAATCGCGTGACGTCATTTATGGACGACCCCTAAGAACTTCGTTAAACGATTCGAAAACGAGATGAAGAAGCAAGGCCCCCTGTGTGTGCGGTGCGGATCGGACGTTGGCAGCGGCACAGGAAATCCAACTCGGGTCGAAGCCGACTTTATAGGTCTCCGGTTAGCAGAGCGCACTGCGCTCACCGCTGTGCACCGTGTGATCATTTAATTACGGGGCCGATCAAGTCGGCAACCACCCATGCCCCCCACGGAATTGCTTCGGGGATATCTCCGTAACAACTGCAACCGTGTGTTGTTGCTGTTGTGTGCGTTCGAACAATCAAGAGTTGACTTCAAAGCGGGGCCGCGTGCGTGTCTGTGGGTGCGGGGGGAGCGGTGGCGTAGTGGTTAGCGCGCTGCTTACCCTCAACGCCGGTGGTGATTATCCAAACCGGTCATGGGCCTCCCCCCTAGGTCGACTCGACGTCAAATGAGCACCCGGTGCGGTGTGTAGTAAACATCGCCACTGGGGGAGACAAAGGCGGTCGGGCGTGGTGTTTCCCACCAAACAACCCTCTCGTATGCCGTGCCGGTAACACGCGAACAGCACTTGCCCCAACAGTCTGGGCAGCCTATACGGGGGGTCTTTGTATTTGTGTGCCCCCTCCTTAATTGGCGATGGTTGACACGAAAATCCCTATTCTTTGTTCTTTCGGTAAAGTCACGTAGATAGAAAATAAAATAAAACTAATAAATAATAAAAGCAAAAAAACCCACGACATTTTGAAAATCCTTTGCGTTCGGCTCCTCGAGTGCTGGCCGCGTCTGCGGGGTCTCGCAACCAAAGGTTGCTTTATCAATTTGGAAGCAGAGCCGCGCGACGCGCCGAGCTCATGGTTACGAAGCCCGATGTTTGAACAACAGGTCGCGTGCAACGTTTTAGAGATTAACAAAAGCCTCCCCCCCATCACCACGGGCTCGTTGTTCCGCGTGTGGGAGTAATTCCCCCCCACACCATCCCCACTTCAAGCAGAGGCGTCGCGACGTTTTAATGTGACGGACTTCGTTGAGCTGTGAAAGAGGAGAGAGAGATAGAGGTGAGAAAGAGAGAGATACGTTTCTTATTAACTATTTTTTAAGGACTTTTTTTTAAATTTCAGTTTGTTTCTTTTTTTTTCTTTGGTCCCCGAGGAAAATGAACTCATTTCTTAGAGAACTGCTGGATCCGACGCACGGGGATGTTTTTGAAAGCCTCACTGCCGTGCCAACAGCCTGGCGCCAAGGCGAGCAGCCGCACAGCGTTATCCCAGGTAAGGCCCCCACCCCCCGCCCCTCTGCAATATAACGCCGCTCGCACGCTCCGGGCTCATCAATTCGGACGATCGCACACTCCGGGCTCATCCACTCGAGCGATCGCACGCTCCGGGCTCATCCGCTAGGACGATCGCACTTCGGGCTCATCCACTTGGACGATCGTACGCTCCGGGCTCATCTGCTAGGACGATCGCACTTCGGGCTCATCCACTCAGACGATCGTACGCTCCGGGCTCATCCGCTAGGACGATCGCACGCTCCGGGCTCATCCATTCGGACGATCGCATGCTCCGGGCTCATCCACTCGGACGATCGCACTTTGGGCTCATCCACTCGGACGATTGCACACTCCGGGCTCATCCATTCGGACGATCGCACGCTCCGGGCTTATCCACTAGGACGATCGCACTCCGGGCTCATCCACTCGGACGATCGCACGGGGCTCATCCGCTAGGACGATCGCACACTCCGGGCTCATCCGCTCGCACGCTCATCCGCTCCCTATTACGCGTCACTCTCTCACCGTTCATACAAAGCTGAGTCCAGGTGTTCCTTTCGAAGCTAATTGTGATAAGCAACGGGCCGCTCTCATTAGTTTCCATGATCCCACGGCAGGCCTTCGAATGCGCCTACATTGAAATGTGCACGCGCGTTCTCATTTTTATTTCCCATCACGTAATGTTGGACCATGGCTTGGCCGGGCGTGGCAACAATGGCAGGGTGTTGCGGTTCGCGATCGGAAGGTTACAAGTTCAAATCCTGCACAGGGAGGTTTGATTCGGGACATCTCTCTCTCTCTCTGGCCTGAACAAAATATGCACCACTTGGCAGGGGAAGTATAAAAAGTGGTTGTCATTTTGAGGGACTGGCCCTGCCATATGAATGTGGAATTTCAACCACTGGCTCAGGGCTGTAATGAGGACATGAGTGCGATCCCACACTCAATCGAGTTGGGAAAACAATTGTTCAACAATGAGCTGTCTTGAGCTCCGGCACCTCTGAGTTTCACGATTGGCTGTGTACGGTGCAAATGAAGTTCAACATATATACGTACATTCATCGTGGAGACCCTTCCACCAGCAGTGGCGTGAGTGAGCAAAGCAATTGCAGGGCTGCACCTTTGCCTCACCGCAAGGCCGTAATTATAATATATAAATGCTATGCTATGCAAATAAAAACAACAATTTGCTAAACCTTGGCCACAATATCTAGACTTGTAATAATAGGGTTTTTCCCCTTTTTTCTGGCAACAGAATAATGTGTGCATTAACCACAATACTTGTGGTCAAAATGCAAACAAAAAACACACTGATAATATATGCATTGTCCTTTTGGCGTCCTCTGGTCTAACACCGTTTGAGACGAGGCTCAACAGAAAGCCGTCTCTGGTGTGGACTAATCAGTTTCAAGGACAATGCATATATTATCAAAATATGTTTTTGTTTGCATTCTGACCACAAGTATTGTGGTTAATGCAGACATGATTCCTTGTAAAAAGGTTTCAGTTTTGTTGCCAGAAAAAATGGGAAAAACCCTATTATTATATTTTGGTACTGGCAAGGAGGTCTAATGATATAGAGTTGTCTTCATATAAATCAATGCATAGATTTCTGTTTATATGATTGTGGTTATGGTTGTACTTTATTAATCCCTAATCTCTGCCATTACATACAATGTAACAAGAAATGGTAAAAAAGTAAAAACAGAGCAATGTAATACAAAAACTATTATACATTGTAAAAAACAAATAAAAAGTCCATCCCATGTGTTAGTGAATTATTTTTTTATTTTAGGCAGGAAATTAGTTTAGAAATTTCGATATATTTGGGACCCCCAGACACCCTGGAAGATTTGCCCCCCCCCCCCAATGTTGACTCCATGGCTACGGCCTTGCCTCACTGGTATGAGGGATGTTCCCGAAGTATACGTGAAAAGTCACACGGTGGTCACAGATTACACTTAACAAACAAAACTGCTTTCGGCATGATCACCTCCTCAGATTATGACCGAGGCCATATGAGCCCTTTGTCTATTGCGACGCCGACTTGAAAATCTCACTGCGGTAGAGCTTCCGGTTTGATCGGTCGCCTTCTGCTGCTGTGCCTGCCCTTCTTTGGTCCGTCACACCGAAGATTTCTATCCGCAATATCTCTCTTGCCATCCTTGAATCGCGTGGACCCGCAAAGCCTCTGACGTTGCTTTCACACAACGCAGTGGGTGGGTTGGGTGGGGGCGGGGGGGTGGGGAGTCCCTCGGGGGGCACGGCCACCCAATCTTCATCTCTCACGAGAAATTCTACCGCAGATTTGCGTTTCGAGCACATTGTCCTGTTTCCGTGACAAACAATGCATCGGCCACCGTGAGTAAAAGTCCCAACGCTGCCGCGGCATGAGGGCGGGTGAGTAATATGCCTCGCAAATGTGGCCGTTAGACACGCACGTTTTGTCATAACAACGGACTTTGATTAAGTGGCCCGCCATAAATGACGTCACGCGATTTTGGACGATTTTCGACCCCCCCCTCCATCGTCACACGGCGTCACAAAAAGTCAGCCCCCCTCCCTCAAATATGACTTGACAAAGCTCTGCCCCCCCCCCCAAAAAATAACACATGTTTCAAATCGCTTTAATCTATTGTCATTGTAGTGCGTATTTAATGTGTAGCTGCACTCTGATGTTGTAGGAGAAAACATGTATTAAAAAGTCTATTTAATCAAGCAGAACGTGTTGTCTATATTTATTTAAAGTTGCGCATTTCGATGTGACGTCACATTTCTCAAACCCCCCCCCCCCCTCGTCACAAATCGTCACAAATGTCTGACCCTCCCCCCCCCCCTAGGTGCGTGACGTCATTTATGGACGGCCCCTAAGACTCTCGTACATATATACCCTCGTACGTGGTTCCACAATTGGCACACGTGGGATGTATCCAGTGGTACAAGCTATTGATGGTGCAGGCAGTCCAACTGCACCGAGGCTCAGGTGCCGGGCAATGAAGCGAGGGGTACAATTGGACTGGGCGTCTCTGCCAAGGCACACGCCAAGCGCGCTACTCCATGGGATATACGGTCACGTTGCAGCGCGTGCTATTCGGCATGATGTCCGACGTTTCACTCCACATTGCTGGGAGCTTCATATTAATTTGCTGAAGCTTGCAGCGCGTGGAGCAAAACATCGGACGCATCGCAAATGCATCACAACACATCGGTGAAATGCCATGTTTTTTGTTGTAAAGTCCTTTGTTGACTGCGCCGATTCAGTGGCCCGCTCCCACCCAGCGAACGTGGGCATGCCAGCGAGCTTCATCCCCAAGTCGTGCGGGTGGCTCCCGTACCCGACGTACGTCTCCCCGGCCGTCCGTCGCTTCATCGAGGAGGATCGGCAAAGGTTCAGAAAATTGGGGGATGCCCCGGGCCAGCACGCGCTCTCGTCGCAGGGCAAGCCCAGGCTCCGCCACGTCCGCCCGAGCAAAGCGCAGCACCAAAGCAAGGAGCAGCAGCAACAGCACCGCACGTCTGCAGGCGCCGAGCAAAATTCACAATCGCTTGGGTGCGCCGCGAGGGATCCGTGGAGGTCTGGGATCGAGGACGTTACGTCCAAAGTCGGAGCCGGCTGCAGGCCACCGGTCGAACGGACTCGCGCGGACGTGGACTCGGAGTCGGTGTCGACGTTCAGAACCGACAGCATTTCCATCCCGTGCCCCAGTCGTGGCAGCGTGAGGTCTGGGCACGACGGCTTTGCGTCGCCGTCGGAGGTCGCGCGTAGAGGAGGCTCCGTGAACATGTACGTGAGCAGCACCCCCATCCTGTTCTGCTCCAGGCCAGGCCGGGCATCCTATCCCATGCAGCGTTCCCTCGACACTCACGGCACTCAACTGAGTCATCGATCCACGGTGACACGGGCGTCGCACGTGGCTTCGGCTCGAGGTGTGGCCACCGCAGTGAGCTTGTTGTAAGCTGGAGGCCACCGGCGTCATGGATGGAAGTCTTTCAAGTGGCACACATCTGAAGGGTGACCACAAGAACGAATGAACTGAACGGCCAAGAGAGGTTGTATTTTAATGGAGTTGCAAAGACCTTCACGGAGCAAAACTTTGCCAGGCCGGTGAAATGGATTCTTGAAACGCCAAACAAAACACACAAACCTCAATACTTTAACGTCAGCGTTTCAATTATGATTTATTTTTTTTGGTTTACAAGGGATTACAATGACGATTGAAATTTTTATGTAAATACCACTAAGGGTTGTAACCAGGTGCTTAGTCTCAAGGTTTGGCCAACGTGGGGTCTTATTTTTGGCTACAAACCACCAGCACTATGACTGGACGTCCATCACACCACAGATGGTGTCCCACAGAACTACATCTAGAGTTTCACCGATGCACCGGTTCATCGATTGAAAATCGATACGGTCACTCGCGATGCGTGCTTGCAAGTCAACATATCGAATTGTGCATGTCGAAGTCGGTTATTTGAAGATGTAAATAAACTAAAACATTTTTTTTTACCTACTAAGGCTTACTGAGCTATAATGTTCTTTTTCAGAAGCGGCCTGGCCATGAACGATAGCGCAACGAAGATGCTTGTCATGTGGACATGTATAGCAGCCAAATACTCTAAACGCATGTTGATTATAAATATGGAGGAAAAACCGGAGGACCCAGATAAAAATCCACACGACCACGGGTAAAACATGCAAACTCCAAATATACAAGCGTCAGGGCCAGGATCAAACCCACGACCTTCCTGTATACCAGGTGAGCGAGTTAACATCTCGCCACCGTGGCACCCACATTATATTCTTTAGATGTAATGGGTTCATATAACCCCTGCTGTCAATTGGAGGCCGCGACATTCATAACAGTGGTAACAAACAAACAAACAGTCGTTACCAGTTCCTGGAATTACGACCCCCGATTTGTGACAATCCATCAAATCACCACTGCGTAATCTGCTTCTTCTCATATCTGCCAGTGCAAAAAAGTAGCACAAAGCCAGTCAAATAAAGAAATCGTCGAATGTTTATTGAGCAACCTGCCAGTCAATTTTTTATTTTCTTTACAGATAGATTCAGAACTTAAGAATGGAACCAATGGTATTGTCAGATCAGTATTCTTTCAGTGCTAAACGTTTAATGTTGTTACGAAGATATATGCACTGAATTCGTGCATTGGACATCATTATCATCGGCTATCCCTCGCAATCGAGGATGATTGTCTTCCAGAGCAAAGTTGGATTATCTGTGGGTCCGAAGATGGCTGAAGAGACCAATCTGAGATCGACTGATTCTGCCGGAGCTTGGGCACGCGTGTCCAGAGAGAGTGGTGTGGGTGGAACTGCGTTAGTAAGTCGGGGGGGGGGGGAGGGGCTGCAGTGGGGTGTTTGCGCCGTGCGTGCTTTTTAAATCATTTATATTAAGTTCGCTTGCTTGCGTGCTTGCGTGCTTGCTTGCTTGCTTACGACCGTGCAAATCTTTCGGTCGTTTTTTAACCCACTTCCCGTGATCCAATCGAGCTGACATTTTGCACACAGACTCGTTGTGCGAGACAATTAATGTTCGTGAAATTTTTTTACACTGTTTAGGGAAAACAAATTAAATATTTAATTACCAATTGTTTAATACTGCAGACAATCATCTGACCCATAGGTGGCAGCTATCTCAAGCCAGAGGACGAGAGGACTCTAGCCGCCACGCATATAAAGGATTTAGAGTGAAAAACTTTGTTTTTACGGGTTATACTTATTCTCTTCCTGTTTCTGCTGTTGAGTTTCAAAATGTTTGGATCCTTGAAATAGACTCGGTCTCCATCAGAGGTGATCCCGGGCAAAGGTTTTCCCTGAGTAACATTTGACATATTGCTTAAGTAGTGGCCTAGATGGTGCATAAGCATGTGCGTTATGTAATTAGCACAGCCCAAATATGCAAAAGCACTGCAATGGACTGGTAACAGGTATCTTGACTCAAGCAATACTGAAGAATTATGTACAGACCCATGGACAGATTATGAGAGTATTATAAATGTATTACAGGCAACTGCTACAAAAATATATCTAGTAAGCATAACTAGAGAAAGGCACAGTTAGATTTCTTGGACATGTATTGAAAAAACAAGAGATTGAATATAAATGCGTTTTGACTGCGACAATTATAGGTACAGGCATACCCCTGGTTTACGCCCAAGATGTGTTCCCAAAAACCGGAACGTACATCGAAAGTACTTAAATCAACGCTTGTGTTGTGCCCGAAACGTCGTGATTTAATTGAGTTGTTTTCATTTATTAAAAAATTTTACCTACGTGACTTTACCGAAAAAACTAAAGAGTATGAATCCTTGCAGTTACGAAAACTTCAAATCTAGAATCAAAGCATTTGATTTAAGGAATAATGTTTATATTTGAGTGGGGAACACAAATATGAACATGTGAGAGAGACCGTAGCCAGTCAGGGATGCTAACACTTGGGCTCCTCAAGACATCTGGCATCTGAATGATCGCCATGGAACGTAAAAACATTGAAGTGCTTAATGGTAAAGTTCGTAAATCTCGAGTACGTTATGGTAAGGTGTACGGTGTACGTACAACAGGATTTGGTGTCAAAAAGCTGAGTACGTACAGTGGTGAGGTGTAAATTGGGGTGTTACTGTACAAGACGCCAGGAAAGGCAGCCAATTAACCCATTCCCATTCCGATGACATACCTCTACAAGTCTTGACTTAAAGCTTTCGTGACTGCAGGAATTCATATTCTTTGGGTCTTTCGGTGAAGTCATGTAGATAGGTTCAAAGAACATAAAAAAACAAAAATATATTTATTTGAACCTATCTACGTGACTTTACCGAAAGACCAAAGAATATTACATATCTGTACGTCATCGGACGTTTTTCTTATGATTCGGTTTTTCTTCCGGTGATCAGAATTAAAAGGTCATGCGGGAGGGCGTGTGGAAGTTTGGCACCAGCCATCGTAGAGTGCGGTCGTGTTGCTACGGTTCTCTGCGGTGAGTACAGCGTCTTCCTGAATAAAATTAACGCTCACCAATTGCACGCAACAAGATTCAGCGGCGAACGGGTCACCCACCCTGCGACTTGCAGACATCTCGGAACGGGGAAGGGTTAAGTTTCATGAGCAATTTGAATAATCGGATGCAACTGGGAACGTCTAATTCCAAGTTCTTGAGTAAATATCATGGACAGAGCTGAATGGAAGGAAGGCCATGATCGCCGGCGTCTTTGACAAAGGACACGGCTCACAGAGAGAAGTGGAGTTTACAACTCTTTGCCAATCCACGACTGGATGAAGGCCTCTCCACGCAGTGTTGTTTGACACCATGATTCACCACGCTGGTCAGTGCGGCCTGCTGAAGTGGTGTGATTCCAGGACTATTTAAAATATTACTCGCCACTGATGTCAGCTGTAGCGGGGAATCAAACTGAGGTTTCTGGAGTCGCAACAAGGTGCGTTAACCACTGCGCCACCACTCCACCCGACTTCAACTGTTATTGTAAGGGAACTTAACCAGTGTCATGTGAGAAATTGTTTTGTTATGTGGTTTGGAGGTGCCATTGTGGCGAGATATTAACTACCTCGTCTGGAATGCAGGAGGTCGTGGGTTCGATCCTGGCCCTGATGCCTGTAATTTGGAGTTTGCATGTTCTCCCCCGTGGTGGCGTGGTTTTTTTTCCGGGTCCGCTGGTTTTTTCTCTCCACATTCATCAACATGCGTTTAGAGTTTTTAACTGCTATAAAATGTCACGTGATAAGCAACTTTGTTGAGCTATCATTTATGGCCAGGTAGCTTCTGAAAAAGCGCTACAGTATATAGCTCATTGGGCCTTACCTTGTAAAATAAAACAAATAGTTTTAGTTTAGTTTGTTTTGGCACTTTTAACAGTTATTAACAATTACCTAACTTTCTTTTTATCACGAGAACAGGATACACAAGTTTAGAGTGCGATATGTTCCCTATTTCCCACGATACAACATTGCCTCTGCTGTGTGTCTTCAGAATAACACCACAAGGCTTCACACTTGTGATGTTTGTGTAATTCTGTACTTTGCCAGTCCACCTCAATAATGTCAGCCGTTAACCTTAAATGCAATTAATTATAGAAATAACTCGAAGATGTGACAACTCGTATGTATGTCAAACTTCTTTCACACCGTACGTGGCCAACCGTGGTAAATGGAGGTGCGAATTTGCGTATTTTGTATCGATGTACCGTTAAGTGGTTTAGGCTGGAATTGTGGTTCGCTTTGAGTTGGGTAAAAACAATTAGTACTGCGGTGTGGGAAGTCAACAGTATTTCTCCTATGGATAGACTGGTCCCCACCATAGGAATGTGGAATTACCACCACTGATTCAGGGCCACCAATGAATGTGCACCACCCTAGGCTTGTCTGAGCAAATTCCGTGGCAGTTATGTGTTTTTCTAGACAGCAAAATGTATCTTGCATTCGTCAAAATAAAACGCGTATGGAAAATCGGTTTCTTTAAAATAACACTGTAGTATATATACAACTTTAAAATAACACTGTAGTATATTTATACAACTTCCAGGAATGTATACAGAAGTGCACATGACAATGTAATGCGTTTATGGAAAGCCAACTCGCTTCCAAAAATGTTGCAAGGAAAATTCACACTTTTTTTTACATTTCTAGCAGAACAGTCGTCCCTCGGTTTACCATGCCATCGATGAACGACGTTTTGATTCACGATCTGCCTCCCAATGGGGCCCCAATTGTTTTTGTTAGCGATACATTTTCGATTAACGATGTATTACGATATCACGCGGGCCGCCAATTTCGGCCAATCGGAACGCTCCTAAGTGGACTCGGCAGACCTCAGCCAATCGGCGACTCGCCCTTTTATGAGCGTTTTGAGAACAACTGGCTTGTAGCTTTTCAACGTTTTTAGGGTGAAAAGGTCAACTTCTGATTATAGTGGAACAAATTAAGCCTTTAACATATGTTCCCTACATTAAAGATAGTTTCAATTAACGATGGTTTTCGTGGAACCAATTAATATCGGTAATCAAGGGACGACTGTATGCAACAAAGTTGTTTTAAAGAATAAAACACGAAACATATTTGGAAAATTAATACCATACATCCTGCATGTGCATTGCATTCACATTCAAGTGATTCTAACAATCTGATAACATTCACATAGTAGATCGAATGCAAGCTAAAGTCATTGCCATGCATTTTGTTTTTGGGGGTATACCGTGTTGATGCACGACCTTGCCATTCGGAACGTCACTTTGTACACCGTTGCTTTTGGATTGTTTTGTTCATGTTTTATTGTTGCTGTGACCAGGTTGCTATGGTGTAACCGGGTCCCCATCGGATATGAGCATTTATTGCCAAATGGGTTTTACCTGTACCAAAATCAATATAATTTTTTATAATTTTTTATTTTATTTTACCAGCCACTGAGCTGTATAGCTTTTTTTCAGAAGCGATCTGGATATCACAAATTATAGCTCAACGAAGTGGCTCATCACGTGGAAAT